GTCTCCTATAAGCTTCCATTACCTTTTAGCTGCCTTAACCTCACAAAATTTAAAAAGCAAACTTCAGACACGAAATATGTCTTCAGTTTTTCCTCCTCACTCATTTAAACGACATTGCTGGTACATAAAATGCACCACAGTAACAAGAGAGATAGAAGAAGGGTGTGTTATGGGATTTGGCAGCCACTGCCTCTCGCCCCAGAATGCACAATACAACTCCAAAACCAGCACAGAGAGTCCATCTTCCAGACAAGACAGTCATTTTGATTCAGTAAATCATCTGACTGTAGAAGCGCAGCACAAACAGAACTTTGTGCTGGGTTGTATAAAACTGTATTAATTTGACTGCAGCGTTCTGTATGTAATTCTGCTGAGGATGCTGATAACGGGTATACTTCCATGTACATATCTGTGGACACTGATAGCGATGCATAAACATTTCGCTGCTCTCGGAACAAAATCTCATCTCCAAAATGGTAACTTTACAGGAGAAGGAAAAAACATGCTTTACTTTTAATGTAAGTCAATGGAACCAGAATTTTTTCCAAGTCATTTTGGGCCGTTTATTTTAGTCCATTCATCATGAAATTTACAGTCAATGTAAAGGACAACAGGCAATTTCAAATTACGTCAAACACAGAAAAACGACAAAAATGGAGATAAAAGGTTTTGTTCCGACTACAGCGATTTGCAAAATGTAGAAACTGGGACTAACTTTACCTGCAGCAGTGTAAAGAAATAAAACATTTTAGTTTGGTTAAAAAAAAAATTTGTGCAGCATCGCCTAAATGTTCTGCTCTTCCAGAGGACATTAAACATTTAATCAAATATTGGTTTGAATTATTGATCAAATCTAAACAATGTTATTTTAAACAAATACCTGCCAATATCAATATGACTCAGATTTAAGCAGTAGAACACAGAGGGAGTGTGTTGTCGTGAAATAACATCAGGGCTGTGATTTGTTCGCTGTGGATCATCACAGCCGTGATGTTATTGGCGATAACACACTCCTCGAGTGTTCTATTGCTTTTATACAGCAGTTAAATAAATAAAGTAATAAATTAATAAACTGGGCCGTGAACGCGGCGTTTAATATGTTTTAATGTTCGCAGTTCCTTCACCAAATTATAGTTCCTTAACGAGCAGCTTGTTGCTATGTCAGAGTAACGAGCTCCGCCCACTCGCTGCACAGCCGGCAGTTCGTTCTCCAGCTCCTTATACTAAATTCCCAAACTGTCATCACCAATGAGCAGCTTTTCAGTCGGCAGCTGTGACAGAAGAACAGCTAAACAACCTGGAATCAGCCAGAAATGAACCCAATACCATTCGCCAAACTAAATGGGCTGTAAGATGCTTTACAGACTGGCTGGAACAAAACAACATTAATACTGATCTGGCAAAAAAAGACAAAACTGAGCTAAACTTGATATTGTGGCAGTTTTATGGCTCAGTCTGATTTGGTCAGACTGAAGATCAGACTGCATGTTTGCCGAATGGTATTGGGTTCATTTCTGGCTGATTCCAGGTTGTTTAGCTGTTCTTCTGTCTCAGCTGCCGACTGAAAAGCTGCTCAGTGGTGATGACAGTTTGGGAATTTATTGTAGTCTCATCTTCAGAGTCTGACCAAATCGGCTGTCGGTCAAATGTGATCTTAAAAGTATCCATTTTCTGTTTGTGGGCAAGTAAGAAGTAAAAACGTTCAAATGGCTTGAGCGTCTCCTACAGCTATCAAAGTTGTTGCTTAGCAATGGCATCTCAGCGGAGTGATACAGTGTTTGTGAAAAAAAACGTGATGTTATGGTGAAATAACAGCACAGTTCGAACGCTTCTCAACCAATCAGATTGCGTGGCCGGAACTAACTGCTGTATAAATTACAGTAAATCCCTAAATGATGTGCATATTTTTAATTTCTCATGTTCTGAACGCAGAAGAGCAGCAGTGGTTTAAGGCACAGCTAACAGGGGCTCAAACCACATCAGTCAGATTCCTCTCCGCTCGGTTCCACAGTGATTCTGAGTAGTTAATCACAGCAGTGCTCGCGGTTCCTGGCATCAAGACTAACTTTAAGTCAACACTCAGTGGACTGCAGGACTGACGTACCAGCCAGTACTGTGTACAAATTAAAACACGGCTCTGCACTGTAACTTAATGTAACCTGAACAGGTTTCGATATCAGGCATCTTCATATCACAACTGCAAAAAAGCACTGATAAAATTAATACAAGTATTTCTAGGAAAGCTTGTGTTCCATAATTCATATCACTGACCAAACACAGCTGCATGCAGAAGTTCAAATCATGTGTTTTTGGTGACTTTCTAAGTGAAACGTTCAACTACGGCAACACATTTCCGCACATTTTAATGCACGATTACTGTTTGTGCTCAATTTAACACATTGGAAAAACAATGAAACATAAAACGTAGCTTGTGCAAAAGTAATGGCACCCCGATTTGTGTGGTTTTTTGTTATACTCAGTAAAAAAAAATAAAAATTGTCTGCTAGAATTAGCAGAGAAATGCCATGTAAATGCCACAGTACATAACATCTGCGTACAACTGTGCTTCCAAAAACATCTGAGCTTCGGTTTGTGTTCTTCATAACACAGCAATACGAGTGCTTCCTGGCGGGCCGACTTCTCTTCAAAACTGAACCAGAGTTCAACAGCCAGCTGATATCTCAGCCACGGCCTCGAAGCAAATTCACTTCACAAACCTCCCTGCACTCACTTGAATCCCAATCAATTGCATTTGCATAAACGGTTTAAGTCCATTCACCCACTTGATTGACCTCTTTGCACACCTCATACAAGCACCATTCATGTGGTGAAGGAACGTCATGCTGTAAATTCTCCAGCGAAGCAGTAGCACGGCCTGCCCAGCGCTACCTCCAACTTTAACTTGGATCACAGTAATCGTGCACACTGCACGACTGTTTGGGTGGGGTGCAACAGCCCTTGTTGTTGCTTATCAGTGCCGGCGACTCCTGGCCAGGGCATTAATATTGAAAGTGGTGGCACATTTGAACACAGAACTACACAAACACTGCAGATTCTTATGCGTAGTAATTCTACAAGCAGTGTATGGGACGAGGGGGTCTATACACTGATTTAAAGAAATGGCATTAAAGATACTTTATTATATACAGACTATATAGTATATTACAAAGTCTAGAGCAGGGGTGCACAAAGAACCAAGGCCAAGGGTCCCAAAAAAAACTTTTTGAAAAGTACATTTTATAACATTACACTACATTTTATTACTACAATCTCTCAAAACTACATTTTAAAAAGGAAAATAAGAAGTTTATATAGCTGTACAGAACCTTTACGTTACATGGAGGTTCTTTAAACCCACTTATATCTCATTTTAAAAAATGGTTCTGTCCACCTAAAGGTTCTTCAGGCCAAGCAAAAGCTGTTCTTCTATGACTTTGCTTTAAAAATATGCTTTCTGGAATTATTACTATTAAGCATAACACTTCCTGTAATGTATACTGTATGTATTGTATAAGCCGAGACACATTATAATGTACAAGAACATAAATACTGTAAATATTCTGCATATATATTGTGCAAAAAGTAGTTTTAAGGAGATAAAAATCAAAATGATTGTTAAACCGCCTACAGTCCATAAAACTAGGGTTCCTAAATGGTTCTAGGAAAAAAACTACCTGGTATAGAAACTTTACATTGTGTCATTATGTGGAGGTTCTTTAAAAACTTTAAAAAGGTTCTTGACACTTTCATTTTTAAAAATCATTCTCTAAAAGAACCATCAACTGAATGGTTCTTTAAACAACCAAAAGTGGTTCTGAGAATTCACTCTAAAAGAACTCTTTCTGGCACCTTTATTAATAAGAGTAATTTGTGATACGTTGTATGTAATGCATAAAAAGAAGCATAATGTATTATTTAAGAATAAAACCACAGTATATATTGAGCACATACATTCAGCAGCTTCCAGAAATTAAAAGTGAAGGTGACTAAAACCTCCAACTGTAATATAGGCTACTTAACACACTGTGAAATGCATGTATTTTTAAAGAAAAGACACCATAAACTGTGTAGGACTATGGTATATGTTGTGCACATATATTGTGCAAGTAATAGTTCTAAGATTTAAAAAAATAAAAAATAAATCAAGATGATGGAAACCACCTAGACTCTTAAAAACAAAGGTCCCTACATGGTTTTGGCTTGGACATACAGTTCTAAGATAAACAATTTACCTGTATAGAACTTTTACACACAAAGGTCATCATATCTCATTAAATAAAGTTCTCTAAAAGAATCATCCACTGAAATGCACTTCATGGAACCAAACTTGGTCCTTCTATGTCTTAGGAACCAAACGTGGTCCATCTATGGCTTTACTCCAAAGAACCCTTTCTGGGAACTTTACTATGAGAGCACAGGAACATAGTGCTGTTGTCAGAAGAAACCCTCTCCATTTTTTATGTTTTTCAGTTTTTGACATATTTTGAAAATACCTGTTGCCCTTTACACTAAGTGTAAATTTCATGATGAACGGACTAAAAGAAACGGCCCAAAATGACTTGGAAAAAATTCTGGTTCCATTGACTTACATTAAAAGTAAAGTATGTTTTTTCCTTCTCCTGTAAAGTTACCATTTTGGAGATACGAGGTTTTCTTCCGACAACAGTGATAGGTTGCTTAATGCACTGCACACTGTATAAGAAGCACAACATATTGCGTAAGAATACAAACACCACATATATTGTGCACACATACTACACAAGAACCAGCTTCCAGAAACCAAAAGTGAAGGTGACTGAAACTTCCAAGAGTAATACAGGCAGCATTATGTACTAAACAGTGTATGTATGTGTGTACGTATGTATGTATGTATGTATGTATGCAAGACGATCCAATACATCATGTAAGAATATTGCATTTATTGTAAGGGAGGAGTATGAAGCTGATCACTGTCCAGATAAAGGCTGGTGAAAATAACTCCAATCACTAAGAATACTCACGTAGTCATGGAAGGCCTTGGCCTCGCTCGAATGTTCACAGGAGTCCCTCCTCTCTGGAGCCGCACAGTACAGATCCCAGAACACACTGAGGGAGAAAACAGGCCAGAGGATCAGCTGCTTACATCCACATCAGGGCTTCCCAACTGTTCTCAGTATTACTTCAACTGAAACTGCAACATGCAAATGAGGCTCTAACCAACCACTGGCTGGCTTACTGTATGCTTTGAGGATCCTGACCAATCATAGACATTCTTTGGGTGCTTGGTAGGAACCACAATGTTTGCTTGATGCAACAAATCAGCGGTCAACACTGTCTATTCCCCGGAGGTCCTGGCCACTACAGAGCCTGTTGCCCGAGGGGCCACTTGCCTTGGAGATTTTTAATACATTCTCGTTCCTGTCTAACAAACCGGTTTGGTCGGACGCTGAACGAACTGCATCAAATCAGGTTTTGTCAGATTTTGTTAACTACAACCACAGCCACAGTGAATGTGGTGGTGTGGTGACTGTAGCTAAACTGTACCTAATGATGTCATTCAATCTTGATTACATCAATGGGACCACTACAGTCACCAAACAGCAATACTCCTGTTTGTTTATATATATATATATATATATACACACACACACACACACACACACACACACACCGCTGTTGTCGGAAGAAAAGCTTGTATCTCCAAAATCGTAACTTTACAGGAGAAGGAAAAAACCTGCTTTACTTTTAATGTAAGTCAATGGAACCAGAATTTTTTCCAAGTCATTTTGGGCTGTTTCTTTTGGTCCATTCATCATGAAATACACACACAATGTAAAGAGCAACAGGTATTTTCAAATTATATCAAAAACTAAAAAAGTCAAAAATGGAGATACGAGGTTTTCTTTCGACAACAGCGATATATTAATTGCACTTCTATTACTGTGGCAACAAATTCTTAATTAAACTGCAAAAACAGCCCATTTTGTCTGTGCATTTACATACTCTGCCCATCAGACCTACAGCAATTAAGCCCCGCCCATCCAGGCTGAAGTTATAAGGACTGTTTTCAGCCAATCAGAACAAATATCGATCTTAAAGGCACAGTAACAAAAACAGCCTGTTTATTTTTAGGGTTGAACTTTAGAAAAATGTCAAATGACTGACTTTTTTTGGTGCATAAAACCCACACAAACCCTTTAAGTGGGCCTGAGTGGAAAAAAAACAAGAAAATATACACGTAAAAATGACAAACGTCGCCCTTAAGGTGTTTCGGCGACGTGCTTTCTCGTTTTGCAAGGCAAATCACAACTGTGATTTGTCGCCTTGTGTCTCGTCCACATTGTGTGGTGCTGCTAGACCCCTCATCAACAAGTTACTGCACACTTACCACCACCACGAATGCAGGAACCCTGGAGGATCTCCCAGAGTGATGTTCTTTTCCCATCGAATCTGCAACAAGAGTGGAGGGGAAATGGTTTAGTCTCGCTTGACAGGACGCTCAGGGCCTACTGTACACACCGCAGGACGGAGGGAGCGCATGCAAATACGGCTTCCCCACCACGGCCACGGCTCTCACCTCCGACAGAAAGGTCTGAGCTGACTTCTGTGCGCCGATGTGTAGCAAGTACTCGTAAACATATAGGGCCAGCCTGCATCAGACGACAAGAAAAGAGAGAGAGACATTATGTTATATAGTGGGAACACAACAAGCAATGACCACAAATGATGAAGCATAAGGATCATAAATGATCAGGCATCTATTTATCTACCCACCCCTCCCTAGCAAAACATGACCAGTGGTCAGATGAAGAGGGATAAAAGACCAGCCCAGTGTACTCAGTGTTAGAATGAACCCCCCCCCTCTATACAATAAAGCCTATTGGAGAGGCTTTGGACATGTGTAAGCATTTTAGGTTAAAGTTGGCTTCCTATAAGCCAGCTATTCGAATTTTCCCGTTCCACCTTAAACGGTGCAGCAGTTACATTCTGGCGCCTCAGGCGCCAGAATGTAACTGCTGCACCATTTAAGGTGGAACGGGAAAATTCGAATAAGGGTGGAAAAAAAAGGGCACATGTTCAGCGATTTTTTGGGGAAACTAAAAGCACAAAAGGTGGGACCCCACTCCCTCCTCCCTGCCTCAGACTCAAGGCAGCCTTCCATTTAAGCAGGAGAAAAGAAAGTGCATCAGATGCATCAATTTAAGCGACAGGAAATGGACAAAAAGATGGAAAAAACGGGGATTAAGGTTGGGAAGAGATGGAGGGGGGAAAGCGTGCAAAGGAGAAACACACACAAGAGCCGAGGAAGGCCACTTTCGCTTCAGCGCCGTGCTGATGGCTCGCAGGCTTCATAGGCAGCCGTGCCTATACGGCTCTAACAATAGGCTCCGTCGAAGGCACCAAAAACACTCGCGTACGCTCACACACACGCACCCACACGCTCCGCAAGCACGACGGTTTGATACTCATAAAGCCTTACTTTTCCCGAGCCTGGCCGTCCGATGGCACGACGGAGCTTTTGCCTTTTGGAAACATGGTTTTATTGCACGGGGAGAAATAGCCCGTTTCCCTTTTTCCCCCTGTTTTCAACAATTCATCTGTCAGGGATCCCGACCTGCCCGCACAACTCAACTACACTAACAGCGCCGCAACGCAACATGACTGCTGGATCGAGGGGAGGGGGGGAGGAGCCTGCGCGCTGATCGACAGCCCGAGCGACCAATGGGCGAGCGAGAGTCTCCCTCTACGTCACCCGCGTCTGAGCTCCTTTCTCCTCCTTTCTCTGGCTGCTTGCGATTGTTTTAAAGGACCCGCATACCTAGGCTTTTTTCTTTTTTTTTTTTTGGCTGCTATTTTTCTTTCCTCTTGCAAGAAGTTTGCCCCTAAAGCGCCACCGCGATGCTATTGCGTTCCCTCGCGAAACTGTTTGCATTCCCTTGCAAAATTTTTGCATTCTCTAGCAACGCTTTGGCATTGTCTCGCAAAAGTTTCGCGCTCTCTGGCAAAAATCCATTGCATTTGCGAGGGAAGTGCAAAATTATTGTTTTCTTGCCATTAGTTTAGAGGATTCATATCCTTATATTTTTTTCACTACTATTTTTTATTTTCACTTGCGATATATTTGATTTTATACAGAGACCCTAAAGCGCCATTGTGACAAAAAATATCTACACATTATTATTATTATTATTATTATAATACACATAAATATTTGACATTGTGTTCTCTCATAAAATTTCTGCATTCATTCACAAAAACATGTGCAAGGGAAAGCAAAATTATTGTGATTAAACACAAAATTATTATTTTTTTTTTTTCCAAAAGTTGTATTTTTTCCCAAAATTATTAGTTTCTTTCCATTGTTTTGAAGGACTCATGTCTTTATGTTTTTTCCTGCTATTTTTTATTTTCTCTTGCGATGTGTTTACTTTTATACTGAGCACCTAAAGTGACATTGTAACAAAAAATATTTGCAATGACATTGCGTTCTCTCGCAATATTTTCCCATTCTCTCACAATAATTTTGCATTTACCTGCAAAATTTTTGCGTTCCTCGCAACCATTTAGCGTTTCCTCACAAAAGTTTTGCGTTCTTTTGCAAAATCCATTGCATTTACTAGGGAACACAAAATTATTGTTTTTTTTCCCCAAAAGTTGTATTTTTTCCAAAATTATTGGTTTCTTGCCGTTGTTTTAAAGAGCCCGTATCCTTATATGTTTTTTCTTGCTGTATTTTATTTTCTCTTGCAATATATTTGGTTTTATACTGAGCCCCTAAAGCGCCATTGTGACAAAAAAACATTTGCAAAGACATTGTGTTCCCTCACAATCTTTTTTCTTTCCCTCACAAAAGTTTTGCATCTCTTGCAAAATCCATTGCATTTGCAAGGGAATGCAAAACGTATGCAAAAAATGCGAAATTATTGGGAGGGAACACAAAATCATTGTTTTTTTTTTTTTTCAAAAGTAGCATTTTTTCCAAATTTATTGGTTTCCTGTGATTGTTTTAAAGGACCCATATACTTATATGTCTTTTTTACTGCCATTTTTTTTTCCTCTTGCAATGTGTGAGTGGTTTTATACCGAGTCCCTAAAGTGCCATTGTGACAAAAAAAATATTTGCACTGACTTTGCAATAACTTACAAAATTTTCACATTCTTTTGCAAATGTTTTGCGTTCTGTTGCAAAAGCCCTTTGCAAGGGAAAATTACTGTGAACAAACAGAAAATCAATGCAGGATAATGCAAAATTATTGACCACAGCAGCTTAGGTGCTCCACAGTTTTACACACCAAAACCAGCTGTAATTCATTTTTACATTCCCGATTTCCAGCCTCTCCCTTTAACCCTTGCTGTTTTTTTTTTGGTATATGTAAAAGAGGTATATTCTGTTTGGCTGGCCCTGCATTGTGCCTCCCTCAAAAGAAAAATTCAAAAAAATGGTGAATGGTTTAATGTGAATGGACGGGGCTGAACTGCCTTAGGCAAATATCGACCAATCAATCAATCAATCAACCTTTATTTAAACACTGACCCTCATTTGCAATGATTGGAAAGAGTAAATAGACGGTTGTGAGAGTAACAGTATAGCAATGAAAATAAGGCCACTGAGTATTATTATTATTATTATTATTATTATTATTATTATTATTAAAACTGTTACATGAGACAAATAAAAAACAGGAAAAAATGAGATTTATAAATCAAAACAATCAACTAAAAATATTAAGAGGATTAGTATTAAGAATAAATAATGATAATAATAAAAAACGTAGTAGAGTAAGAATAAAAATAGAAAACAATAATAAAACAATAATAGTAACGATAAATATATGTAATGTATGTAGATGAATTTTTGTGATGTCACTAAAACAGTGAATTCAGCTGTTTTTTGCAGATTAGTTTCCATATAAAGACTGGGTGGACTTTGATTGTGGGCCCTTTAAGTCGACACTGATTACCAGCTGGTCCGGTTCTACAGCTCTGCGGGATGTTTAAGGTTTAGCTTGAGGAAGAGGAAGAGTCGGTGGAGTCGAGCGTGACTTCTGGCGGTTTCTAAATAGTCTAGTCGCTCTTAGTAAAGTCACAGACAGTAAGAAAGGACTCTGTTTCTAGCTCTGAGGAGATTTGTGAATACAGGCCCAGGCTTGATACAATGATGAAATATTGGTTTAATGTTGAAGGGAAAATCCATAGAATTTTCCAAATTCCTGCATTAATCAAATCATTAAATTATAAACAGAAAGTTGAGAAATGTACTGAGTCAGAATTGTTCACAGTGGTGGTGATAGGAACCAGATGTCTGAAGAGCTGAATGGCTCTAAAAGCTCCCTCACAGAAAGTCAGTACATGCTTTGTTTATGAATTCACTGCCTGATGCCGGACACATAGTTTGACAGTAGTTCTAAGAAGCTCCTGGCCTAAAACATATGTTTTAAACTATATCAATGGCAAACAGGTACATGCAGGGCGCTGTGAGGGAAAAAGATTCCTCAAATCATTTTTTTTTTCAAAGAAAAATTTGTTCCTATTTATTTATAATGGCTATATTTGTGTTGTGGACATGGTGACCCCTGGTTCCTATCAGCACCACTGTAAAGAAATCTGACAGGAGGGTTTCTCTCTAATTGACCATTTCACATCAAACCACTGTTTACATCTCCACAACTCTGAACATTTTTGAAAATTCTGTGGAGTTCCCCTTTAATAAGCCCTTCTTGAGGTTAAAGTGTCTATTTCAGCACCACAGAGGAATCATGGAGGTTTTACACAAAGCATGCTTTCTCACAGAGCTGGATAACTTCAGCCCAAAGTGAAGACCACCCAACACAAATGTCCTTAACTCTCCTCTTATTGTTCAGGGCTTACTGTGGGATTAAGTTATCCAGCTAACTGAGAAATCCTGATCTGTGAAAACCCTTCAGGAGTGTGTTATGTTGTTCACTAATGGATTATAGCTAACTGAAAAAAGACCTTTCTGAACAGAAGAAACCAGGCTGTATAACCAGAACTGCAGCACAAAGCAATGGGTAAACGGCAAAAATAGTATTCTAGACATTCTTACTTGTTTTCAGTGATTTTAGTGAGTCAAATATTCTCACTATATTGGCAGATAATTTAGCTTGTTGTAGGAAGTGTGTTAGTAATTATCTTCCAATATAGTGAGATCATTTGACTTAGTGGCATCACTCAAAACAAGTAAAAACTGTCTAGAAATAAGTTAAATAATCTTTTAATAAGCTTTTATTCTCATAATATGAGTTCATATATCAACTAGATCTAAGATCATTTTTTGTGGTGTATGAAAAATTATTTCTGTTGCAAATGATTTCAGTTTATCAGGAGAGCCCTATGTTCTTTTTACTTTTAATTATCTCTAAATATTCAAAGGTCATTAAAAACAGACATGATTCTGTAGTGGAAATCATGTAGAAAACAGGATCCAGAAATGCTGCCACCTTCTCTGGGCCTGAGCTCATTTAAAATGGACTGAGGTGAAGTGGAAAAGTGTCCTGTGGTCCGACAAATCAACATTTGAAATTCTTTTTGGAAATCATGGACACTGTGTCCTCCGGACTAAAGACCACTCAGCTTGTCATCAGTGCACAGTTCAAAAGCGAGTATTCATGATGGTATAGGGGTGCATTAGTGCACATGGCATGGGAGACGTGCACATCTGTGAAGGCAGCATTAATGCTGAATGATATATACATGTTTTGGCAACATATGCTGCCATCCAGACGACGTCTTTCTCAGGGAAGGCCTTGATTATTTCAGCAAGACAATGCCAAACCACATTCTGCATGTATTACAACAGTATGGCTCTGTATTAAAAGAGTCTGGGTGCTAAACTGACCTGCCTGCTGTCCAGACCTGTCACTCACTGAAAACAATTGATGCATTATGAAATGAAAAATACGACAAAGGAGAACCTGAACTGATGAGCAGCTGAAATTCTATATCAAACAAGAATGAGAAAGCATTTCACTTTCAGAACTACAGCAGTGTCTCCTCAGTTCCCAAACTCTTACAGAGTGTTGGTAAAAGAAGAGGTGATGAAACACAGTGGTAAACACTTTTTTGGAACGTGTTGTTGGCATCAAATTCAAAATGGGCATATATTTTTCAAAAAACAATAACATTTCTCTGTTTCAACATTTGATATGTTGTCTTTGTAGTATTTTCCTTTAAAAATCTGGTTTACATGATTTGCACATCATTGCATTCTGTTTTTATTTACATTCTGCACAGCATCCCAACATTTTTGGAAATGGGGTTGTATATAAGAATGTTCTCCATGCACTGACACCTCAGTTAAGTGTATTTTTTTCTGTCTGATTCAAAAAGGCATCATGGTTATTTTCATATTTCCTTCAAATATCCATTTGTGAATCCTGACTGTGCGCACATTGATTTCGACTGTAACCTTATCTGCCACGTAGTGATGGGTCGATCGGCTCTATTTGAACGGCTCCTTAAAGTAAACGGTGGGAGCCGATTCGTTTATACTTTGAGAACTGTTCAAATCTGAAAGGTTATTGCGAGAGCCAAGATACCCCTGCTGAAAAAGGACCATTAGAAAAGATCAGAATTAAAACCTTGGCTTAATAGTTTCCAGTAGAGAACACAGGTTTCCTGTACATCCAAATAGGAAACCATCAAATTCA